TGGGGAAACCCTAAACCCTAATCCGGAGGTTTAACGTAAGGGGATGGGAGGTCAGCTCTCCCCGCATCGGCAGGGCTCCTGCGCAGAATGCAGCTCAAAGTGTGGCTGCCGACAAGTACGCGGAATCCAAAAGCACAGCTGCAATAGCGAAATCTACTGAAATCTTCAGCCCTGATAAACCCTAAACCCTAAACCCTAAACCCTGACCCTTGTCCAGAGGTCAAGAGCCCGACATGATGGAACAAATACCCCATGCCCTCATGAAGGGGTACACGTGCCTTGAGCCCTAAATCGGAAAATCCCCCGCACATGGTTTCCAAGACGCGTTTTGGTTTCCGCTGTTTCGGACCCTGGCTGCGACACAATCTTCCTGCTAAGGGATGCTGGGAGGGAACCCCCCTTTTAATCCTGCTGGCTTATAGCCGAAAAGCAGCTTATGTACTGATCTCGAACATTCTTACTGATGTTGCCCAATCCCCATACGCCCCAGTGGCCCCAAGATAGCCCCTGTAAGTGATTGAAGGGGTTCCTACATAAGCCTAGATACACCCCTATATATACATACATGTATCCTTAAAATTCCCGCCGCCGTGGAAACCGTACCCTATTTTTGGTGAAAGTTAGCGTTTCGCGTACTAGGCGACAGGCCTATTTTGCGAGGTTTTAGAAAGGCGTGATTTCGTAAGTCGATTTTGCGAAACGTTGGGTTTTTGCAAGATTGTCGGGTCGTTTTGTTGTTGGGGCCTTGAGCGCTCTGGGACTTTTCCTTTGCTGTGTGTGCAGTCGTGACGCGAGTCTCACAGCTTTGCTGCGTGCACGCGCGGCAAACACTGTAATTTGCGATATTTTCATGCATTTCTGCCAAGACAGCCTCTGCGGCTGTATTTTTTGGAGGCTTGCATTTCCGAAAACGCATTTGCCAAGTTTCAGGACTTTGACGGTTTTTGTGGCATGGTCGCGAAAGGCTGGACGCTTGTGACAGATTTTCCTCTTCCACATCCTTGTGCAGTATGTTGTACAAAGAGGCGAAAACGCTGTAAATACCAGTGTTTTTGGCATGTATGCAACATGAATGATGTTCTTATCCCCCACCCCCCCCCCCCAAGAAAAGTAGCAGAAACCAGGTACGGTGACACCGCCGTATGCTTGAAATACACAGACACATATATATATATATATATATATATATGTATATATATATACATATATATATATACATATATATATATATACATATACATATATATATATATATACATATATACATAAAACATGCAAAGAAGCACGGGGGTATGTGTATGTGTGTATGTATGTATACAGGTATTCACGGATGTATTGATGTATTTACATCGTTCTTTTGCGTAGCTTTATTCACACGTCCTCCACGAGTCCCTTAAACCTGGTCCAGCGCTGCGCGCCGTGTCTCGGAGCATGTTTTACCCAACCCACGGGAGGCTTCGGGCCCCCAACAGCGAACGCAGGGGCTGTAGGGTTTTGGGGCCGGGCTCGGGGGAGCCGTTTAGGGTCTGGGTTTAGAGCTTACGGGCAGTTTAGGACCCTCAACCAGACGCCCTAACTTCGCCGGGCTGGAGTTAGCTTTGGGGTCTCGATAGCTGACATCGTCGCGACATCGGACATCAACGAAGGGCTTGGGGCTTAGGGTAACCTATCGAATAGCCATAACCATCATAAGCATACAATGTAACAGTAGGTACGGTTAAGGATTGAGGGTTGAGGGTTGACGGTCTTGGGCCCGACAGCTGAAGACGTGCTTGTGCGCATGCAGCGGCAGCCAGCAGGGGCCTATCTCATTATTTCGACTACTTTTCATAACAAAATTGTATGCTAAATACATATTTGTGTATATGTGTGCAAAAAGGCAGATGCACGTGTATGTATGAAAGTATGTGATGTATGTAGGAATGTACGTATGTATGTGTGTCTATCTACCTGTGATTCTAAGACGGAAATTTGGGTAATTGTTTAGGCCCCTGTGCTATTTGCACAGGGCGCAAGACGCCCTGGAGTGAGGCAGATCGCAAATGACAAAAGCCCGTTAGATTAAACCGTTAGGCGTTTAAGGCTTTAGGATCCCAAATTCCCTCCTCAGAAGTTTCTTTGTCAGTTTTGTGGGATCAGGGCTCCTAGCTAGGTAGACGGGTAGCTTGACTGTACAAGCTTATAGCCTCACATCCCCCCTTGCACAACTTTAAACCCCAAACCCTAAACTCCCGTCCCGAGACTGCCCTTAACTTGGGCGGGGGAGGCTCCCTCCACCCTGAAGTCCGAACTCCACGCTCGTTCGATGTATCGCCGGCCTCTATGGGGAACCTTGTGTCGGGAGAGAAGTAAGTGAGGCTTGATATGGCATATAGCGCAGTTCCCCTGATTGGGCTTAAGAGGAACCATATGCTGATTTTTCTTTAGAGGGTTCAAGGGGCCCATCTAGAAAACCCGAACCATTGAATTTCGTCAATTGCCCCCACAGTCGCTGAGACCCTCACCCTAATGTAAACCACCCACCCTCCTCAGCATAAGTATTGCCAGGCGAGGATATTCCAGTATATTGGCAGAGATGTAGGTAGCCTAAACCCAAAAACCCGAACCCTAAACACCTCAAACCCTAAAACCCTAAACCCCTTCAACCCTAAAGCCCTAAACCCTAAACCCTAAACCGCATGCTGGGGCAGGCAGATCGAGCCCAACGGCGTCGCAGCAGCCCCAGCGGGGGAACAGTTCGAGTCCAGCACCTCAAAGCCCGAGCCCTGAATCCAGAACCTTTACGGTTTGGGGTTTAGGGGTTTAGGGGTTTATGGGTTTGGGGTTTAGGTTTTCGGGTTTAGGGTTTGGGGACATCCCTGAACCTCTGCAACATATATTATGACACAACTGCCTGGATACCGGCCCTAGACCCTCAGGCTTCGGCAGGTGTAGAATTACAGGAGTCGAATGGATTACCGACACCAAGAACTCCCCCTCTTCAACTCCCGATGTCGTCGTTGTCACACAAGCTCGACAGAATGTCCGTTCTGGCAGATTGGGGGGAGGGAAGTTGAGTCTAGGGGCCTTTCGCGTTCAGGCCTTGTAGGGCTTTGGGTGCATGTGTTTTGCGTTTCAGGGCTTAGGGCGTTGGCCAGGTTAGGGGTTTAGGGGTTTTGGGTTTAGGGGTTTGGGGGTTTAGGGGTTTAGGGGTTAGGGGTTTAGGGTTTAGGGTTTAGGGTTTAGGTTTTAGGGTTTAGGGGCTGAGGGGTTTAGGGCTTGCTGGTGAAAAGAGGGGGCTCCCATGCTAAGGTCTTCAGCTCGGCGATCTTCGTCGCAGCAGCTTCTGCCTCGGTCAGAGGGCTCTGGATCACAAACTTAGGTATGGTGAGTTTAGGGTTTAGGGTTTAGGGTTTAGGGTTTTGGGGCCCTTTTTGGGTAATGTGTAGGAAGCCCCCTAAGCCCCAAGAACCCTACTCGAAAGCCCCTAAACCCTTATCAACACCTCATAAACCCTCATAAGCCCTCATGAACTCTATACCCTAAACCCTTAACCCTAAACCCTTTACTTTAAACCCTAAACGACCCAAACCCTACACGCGAAACGCCCTAAGCGTTAAACCCTAAACGCCCTAAGCCCTAAACGCCCTAAGCCCTAAACCCTAAACGCCCCAAAAGCTAAACGCCCTAACTCCTAAACGCCCTCTACCCTAAACCCTACACCCTAAACCCTATACCCTAAACCCTAAACCCTATACCCTAAACCCTATACCCTAAACCCTATACCCTAAACCCTATACCCTAAACCCTATACCCTAAACCCTACACCCCAAACCCTATACCCCAAACCCTATACCCCAAACCCTATACCCTAAACCCTATACCCTAAACCCTACACCCCAAACCCTATACCCTAAACCCTATACCCTAAACCCTATACCCTAAACCCTACAAACCCCGAAACCGGTTTGCCGAGGACGCAGCCGATTGGGCCTCTGCCCTGGGCCTCTTCAGTCGCGCGGAGGAAGCCACGGGGCTCTCCTTTGAGGGGTTTTGGGGTTTAGGGGTTTAGGGGTTTAGGGTTTTGGGGTTTAGGGTTTAGGGTTTTGGGGTTTAGGGTTTAGGGTTTAGGGTTTAGGGTTTAGGGTTTAGGGTTTGGGGCTTAGTGTTTAGGGTTTAGGGTTTGGGGCTCAGGGTTTTTGCTTCAAGGGTTTAGGGTTTAAGGGTTTAAGGGTTTAAGGGTTTAGGGGTTTAGGGGTTTAGGGGTTTAAGGGTTTCAGGGTTTAGGGTTTGGCGCCTCTTGTGAATGAGCACACTTGACACACCCTTTGGGGACACTCTAATCAATGTTGCTCTGGACGGGTGTTCCTTGTAATGCCTCATCGCCCTGATATAGCACGAACACACTAACCACAAACACACTACCGCTCAGGGCCATCCCCTGCCTAAAAGTCGAAAACCTCTCAGGACCATACGAAAGATGTAAAAAACGAATAAAATGCCTATGTGTTGGGTGTTGGGGCCTTGGGTTTGGGGTTTAGGGCTTGTGTTCTCCCATTGGCTGATATTGTGGGCGCTGACTTCTGTCCATTGCTGGCGCAAGAGACCTCTGAACCTCAAAGCCCACGAACCCTAGAGCAAAACTTTAAAATCCCTTTCCGTTTCAAAGGTCCGAACTAAAACCCGAAATTGGACAAGGTTCTAAAGCCTCTTCTCTTTCCTGAATTCTGAACCCTCAACCCGTAAATCAAAAAGCCATATATTTCCCTTATTGTGTTTAAGAAGGTTATATTTGAAGAAGGCCAAAAGAAGTTATTTTGATTTAAGGGGATCATGTATTAGACTTCCCTTATTGGGTTTAAGAGGATCATATTTCCAGGCAAACCAGAACCCCCAGCCGCAAAACCTAAACCCAAGAGGTAAACCCCCCTAATCGCCCTAAGCCCCAAACCTTAAACCCCACCTAAACCCTAAACCCTAAACCCTAGAAAAGGGCCAAGGAAGCCCCCAAGCTGGATCAGGGCCACCAGCTGGCTCCCGACGCGGTGATGCTCAGCGAAGGGCTCGGAGAGCGCTCCGGACGGGCATGGGGGGGCTAGGGTTTCGGGTTTAGGGTTTAGGGTTTAGGGTTTGGGGTTTAGGGTTTAGGGTGCAGGGTTCAGCTTGAGATTAGGGAGTTAAGGTTTGTTGTTTCCGGCATTTTGAGAGGCAAGGGCTTTGGAAGTTTCTCGATGTTAATGGTGGAAGGTTTCTGCCTCGGGACGTGCTCGGCTTCAGGAGCGTCTTGATTTTCTGGGACCCAGCGTTGGCCCTTATTCGTTCCTTTTAGGGTTCAGGTTGCCTTGTAATTCTAAACCCTCAAACCAAAGAGTTGCCCTTTTTATTCCTGGGTTACTCCTGGGTCTAGTTATGGAGACTCACAAGGAAGCAAAGTGTCGCGTACCCTGAGCTGCAGACCCCAGACTTCAAACCCTAAACCCTAAACCCCAAACCCCAAACCCCAAACCCAAAACCCCAAACCCTAAACCCCAAACCCCAAACCCCAAATCCCAAACCCCAAACCCCAAACCCCAAACCCCAAACCCTAAACCCTAAACCCCAAACCCTAAACCCTAAACCCTAAACCCTAAACCCTAAACCCTAAACCCTTACACAACCTGCGGCCGAGGCTCGGCCCTCTTTTCTTGCAGCGAGGCGGCGGCATGGCCGGCGGCCATGAGGCCCTCTGCGCGACACATCATGGTGACTGAGGGCTTTGGGGGTTTAGGCTTTAGGGGTCTGAAGCTTAAGGTTGAAGGTGTAGTATCATGTATCTACCTAAATAAATAAATAGATATATATATATATAACATATATAATAAATATATATATATATATACATATATACATATATATATATATACATATATATATATATGTACATATATATATATATATACGTACACTTTTTGTTTTTTAGGGGGAGGGCGGGGGGGGGGGGAGGGGGGCGGCGTTTAGGCGTTTAGGGTTTAAGGGTTTAGTCCTCCAAAGCGAGGGACTTCTAGGTGCACTTCTAGTATACTCCTTCAAACAGCTGCCTGATCTGGTGGCATCCCCCTCTGAACCTCCAAGGCCAAGAAAGTCGGGCCGAGCTAGCCAGGCCCTTAAGGGATTCTGTAATTTCTGTACTGCGAAGGCGACCTCATCTAAGAATACAGTTCAGAGGGTTACTGGCCTGCCTTACGTCATTAATTTTGCATTTTGAGTATACAGATATAGAAGAATGGATGCCACTACGCATATGAGTAAGCAAATTTCTTCAGGTCTTGACGGTTTTGGGGTGCGGTTTTTTGGCGGCTCCGGGGTCCACAGCCCACCCATGAAGCTTCAATCACACCCTAAGCCTCCGACCCTAAGCCTTACTTAGACTCAAGCAGGTTTTTGTCTAAGAGAAGTTATATGAAGCAGGGTTTATATTTCTGTTTTTGGTGAGTGTATATAAGGTTCCTTTTTAATATTGGTGAGTGTATATACCTGGTGTCCTTTTGGGGGTACAAGAAATATATACCCTACTTCATATGGTCTCTTAATTCAGAAGGAGTATATAAGGGTTCCCCTTCTCAGGACCCACATGAGTGGACCATGTCATGGCCCTATGAGGGTATGGGATCCTTGCGCAGCAGGCTGCTTCACCACGCACGAGAATCGAGCCTCGAGCTGAACACTGTGCAGCCGGCGTTGCTTGTGGGACCTGGGAAAAGTGGGTTAGGGGTTTGGGGTTTAGGGTTTAGGGTTTAGGGTTTAGGGGAAAGAGGCGGTTCTGAGGAGCTGAGGGCTTGCCTTGAGAAGCCCAAAGCCTACTCAAGTTCGAATCCCCTTTTCAGGGCTGGGGTTATTGCAATGCCTCCGTTTTAGGTTTTTTTGGAATCTAGGCTTCGGGGTTTCTTGTCGAAGTTTTGGACACCATGTTTGGGGGAACCTGGCTAGTGGTCTTCCTCTTCTTTGTTCCTGTGGGGGTAGGTTGTCGCAGTGCGCCTGCCCAACGTTCTATCATTGTAGGGCTTCGGGGAGTTAGGGTTCAGGGCTGAGGAACGGGGACGAATCTTTAAACGCTTTACACCCATGAAGCCTTAAATGTAAAGCAGGCTGGTTTCAGGGCAACGAAGCGACATGAGTTTCTACAAACCCTAGACCCTAAACCCCAAACCCCAACCCCAAACCCCAAAGCCTAAACCCTAAACCCTAAACTGGGTCTCAAGGGGCCACGAGTGCAGGCCGCGGCGAACGCCGCGATCGGCGCCTGCGCGGCTGCCGGCGCGTGGCAGGTTGGCCCAAACAATTTTTAGGGTTTAGGGTTTTGGGTTTTGGATTAGGGTTTAGGGTTTAGGGCTTAGGGCTTAGGGCTTAGGGCTCAGGGTTTAGGGCTTAGGACTTAGGGCTTAGAATTAGGGCTTAGAATTAGGGCTTGGGGCTTGGGGCTTGGGGCTTGGGGCTTGGGGCTTGGGGCTTAGGGCTTAGGGTCAGGGTTTCTACACAGCTGTCGCCCCGAAGCCCCTAAACCCTAAACCTTGGGATGTTCCCCCTTATACTAACAGTCCTTAATAAGAATTATAGTACCTCCCTATTATAATCCCCATTCAGGACTGTTAGTAGAAAGGGGAACATCCCAATATAAACCCTAAGCCGTAAGCCCGCAAGCCCCCCAAAAAGAACCTGTACCCTGAAGCCTCAATCCCTCGACCCCTGAATCCTAAAGGGCTTGGGAATCAGAGGTTTTAAGCATCGGTGCGCCTTTCTTCACTCTTTTGCTCAAAACCTATAGACCCAGAAGGGTTTCGGGTTCGAGGGACGGGGTCCACTAGCGGACGAGTGACCCTAACACGGCCCCTGAAGTGCGAGAGCCCATAAAAACCCTGAACCCTATAGCCCCAAACCCTTCCAAAACCCTAATTAAACCTCAGGACCTTAAACTCTAAAGCCTAGTTAAACCTTAGAACCTTAAACTCTAAACCCCAATTTAAACTTACAACCTTAAACTCTAAACCCTAAACCCTAAACCTTATAACCCTAAACCCCTAAACCCTAAACCTTAATATACCCCAAAGCCCCTCAGCTCTAAACCCTAAACCTTATAACCTTAGACCCTAAACCCTACGCCCTAAACCCTATAACCCTAAAACCTAAAACCTTATAACCCTAAACCCTAACTACGCCCTAAACCCTATAACCCTAAACCCTAAACCGTATAACCCTAAACCCCCTAAACCTTATAACCCTAAACCCTAAACCCCAAAGCGAACAGGAGGCCCTCGACTTGTTCCAGGGCACCGAGGCGGACGACATCACGTCCGAAGCTCGGCGCAAGTCACACATCCTACAGCTCGTGTGGAGAGGAACCTTTGGGGTTTAGGGTTTAGGGTTTAGGGTTTAGGGTTAGGGTTTCGGGTTTGGGGTTTGGGGCTAGGGGTTTAGGGTTTGGGGTTCAGGCCCTGAACCCTAAACCCTAAACCCTAAGAGCCCCAAGCCGCAGGTCTGTTAAGTTCGTGTCAAGGCTACTCAGCACCGGTTGCGGGACTCAGTCCCGTTTAGGGTTTAGGGTTTAGGGTTTAGGGTTTAGGGTTTAGGGTTTAGGGTATTTAGGGTTTAGGGTTTAGGGTTTCATGAGTAACACCCACGAGCCTCAAGCCGTTAGTTCAAACATGAAAAGCTACACGATAACATGTTTCCGGGCAGCCCAGTGGTACCCTTGTCCCCTTTTCTCCGTTCTAGGCTCTCTTGTAAAACACCAACCCAAAAAAGGGTGTCCTTCTTAGAATGTGCTTACTGGGCTACCAAGTTTTTAATGCTTAGGACTTTGGATTTTGGATTTAGGGTTGCGACCTTGGGAAGCTTTCGGCTTTCTCCTTAAGTAATCCGAAAGAGATGAACCCAAGCTTACCTAAACCGCCACCCTCAACACTAACCCTAAACCCTAAACCCCATGTTTCAAGTTGGCCAAGGTATGTGGCCATGATCAGTCGCGCTCTCGGGTGTTCTGTGGCCAGGGGAGGGAACTACTTGAAGGCTCAGGGGCGTATGAAGGTAGGGTTAAATCTATCTCGAGTTGGGCTCTCCAGGCAGTCAGTTTGCTCCCTAAGAAGCCTCCCCTAAACCCTAAACCCTAAACCCTAAACCCTAAACCCTAAACCCTCATTCATGAGTCAAGAGCAAGAATCCTAAACCCAACCTCGTTCGACCGCAAGAGCCCTAAACCCAAACAACTCGACATCCCAACCGCCCAACAACCTTAAACCCTAAGCCCTAACCTCAAAGCCCTACTCTTAGTAGTAGAGTAGGTAACCTTTAACCTTTTTGGGTTAATATATTCCCCTTATATTCCCAAAGGTTAACCTTTAAAACCCCTAGGTACTGGACAACTGAGTACTAAGCCCTAAGCCCTTACACCATGAACCCAGTCCCCAGATTTAGGGTTCAGGGTGTAGGTTGTAGGGTTTAAGGTTTGCAGGGCTTTGTTGGGTTGCAGGTTTCAGGGGTTGAGGGCTTAGGGTCCTGGATTTGGGTTCTTTCGCGGTGGGTGTGTGGGTTTGGGGCTATTGGGTTTGTTGGGTTTTTGCTGGGGGTCCTTCAGGTACGGCTGCACGAACCGCCTCTGAACCTCAAGCCTTACTGCTTCATAGCCGGGAATCAAGGACCGCCCTCAAATCCCAAAAGCCCTAAAGTCCCAACAAGCCCCAAACCAAAAAAGTCCTAACCCGAAGATCCCAAAAAGAAAACATCAAACCTAAGACCCTCAAACCCTAAGCCTGGCCCTGTTGGCATCATGGTCTTCGAAAATGCCAGGCGGGTTTAGAGTTTAGGGTTTAGAATTCAAGGTTTTAGGGCTTTCGGGCTCAGGTTATCAAGGTTTGGTGCTTGTGGCTTGGTAGAAAGTGGAGCTACGGGAGCCCTAATGAGATGCCAAAACCCCCAAGCCCGCCGCCAAAGCCGCGAGCCTCAAGACCTCTAACCCTGAGCCAAAACCCTAAACCCTAAACCCTAAACCCTAAACCCTAAACCCTAAACTTTAGGGATCAAGTGTAGGACTCAGCGACCTAGACCCTAAACCCTCTAAACAACCTAGACTCACTAAGACACCCTGAAGCCCCCAACAGTTAACAGCCCCCCCCAAACCCTGAAGCCCCTAAACCCTAAACCCCGAAACACCCCAAGGCCCCTAGCAGCCCCTGAAAGCCCCTAAACCCTGAACCGAAAACCCTAAACCACGAAAGTTCAGCGACTGAGGTGCCCTCCGAGGCCCTGGGATGTGGCAGCGGGCGCTGCAGCTTCTCGCCGAGCGGCGCAGACGAGGCAAGAGGTCGCGGGTTCAGGAAGTTGAATTTGAGGGGCGTTTTCGGGGGACGGTTTTGCGAGCGTTTGAGGTTTGGGGGGTGTTGGGGGGTGTTGGGGGGTTTTGGCGGGTTTTGGGGGTTCCCAACCATTGAGGCATTGGGGGGTGGGGGGGGTGGGGGCTCCAAAGTTATGATCCGGAAACCCTTAGTTTTTTCAGTGCCCTAAGCCCTAAACCCTAAACCCTAAACCCTAACCCTAAACCCTAAACTTTAAACCCTAACCTCCCCACATCCAGAGGCCACTAATGTCTTGATGCCCTTGCGCAGACTTCCTAAGCTTCTTGCACCCTTCAGTTCAGATTTGCGTAGGGTTGAAGGCAACTGCTCGACCCTCTGTAAGCCCTGAGCTTCCTTAAATCCTTTAGGGTTTAGGGTTTAGGGTTTAGGGTTTAGGCTTTAGGGGTAAGCCCTAAAGCCTCTATCGTTCAGTTTGGTGCTGCAGCATCGTCCTCTTCGGCACAGCCATCGCCGTGTTCGAGGCACAGACGTTGGGTTTTTGAAGGTGTTATTGGGTGTAGGATTCGGGTAAACCCTAAACCCTAAACCCTAAACCCTAAACCCTAAACCCTAAACCCTAAACCCTAAACCCTAAACCCTAAACCCTAAACCCTAACCTTGAGACCAGAAGCTTGTCAAGATTTGCAAAGTAGCGCCTGAAGGATATAGATGCACAAGATCCTGAATGTAGGGCTCCTTGTCCGTAAACCCCAAACCCTGAAAATCCGAAATCTTGTGCTTTAGGGATGGCAGCTCTGCAGGGCTTCGGGTGTAGAGCTTAGGGTGTAGGGCTTGGGAGTTTGGACTTGGGCTTGAAGTGTTTAGGGGTTTGGTTTGGCGGGTTAAAGGCCTTTAGGGTTTCGGGTTTCGGGTTTAGGGTTTAGGGTTTAGGGTTTAGGGTTTAGGGTTTAGGGTTTAGGGTTTAGGGTTTAGGGTTTAGGGTTTAGGAGCCCCAAGGCTAAACCCAAAGAAGGGAAGGAGACCAGAAACTGCGCGTTGGATTCTAAAGCCTAAACGACAGCACCTAAGCCCTTCTTACCCTCTCAAAAGCAAGGTGCGTTTTTCCATCCAAGCCCTTCCGAAAACCTCCTAATCCCAGTCAAAATGCCTTGTATATGTGCCTATGTGTATGTTTAGCTCTCCCAGAATAGGTCCCTCCGAAGGCCTTAAACCCAAACCCCAAAACCCAAACCCCTGACCCCAAACCCCAACCCCCAAACCCCAAAGCCCAAACCCCAAACCCCAAACCCCAAACCCTAAACCCTAAACCCTAAAACCCCAAACCACCCTAAGCTTACGCAGGCTTCCGGGCGTTGGCAGGAGGCCCTAGCAACGCTCTCCGATGCCAGGCGCCTTTACGGAGAGCCCCTGCTCTTGTCGACGTGGCCCTTAGGGATTGTCAGGTTTGTCTTTTGAGGGGTTTAGGGTTTAGGCTTTAGGGTTTAGGGTTTAGGGTTTCACGTCATATCTTTTGGTCTTTAGGGTTTAGGGGTTTGGGGTATTGGGACTCATGTTTCCCGCAGAACTGGGAGGAGGTCGGATCAGGCTTGTCAAGGCTTCACGCGTGAGTAGGCTCTGAGGGTGTTGAGGACTCGGTTTCTGCTAGGCCTCTGAGGGGTACGGAGCCCTTATTCCTGAGCCTGTGATTCTTTAGGCTTTTAGGGTCCCATTTTGGAGTCTAGGGTTTTGGGGTACATCTAGGGTTTAGGCTTGAGGGTTCAGGGTGGGCCCCCAAGAATGTTTTGGTGAAGGTCCGAGACGTTGCCCAGCGTCGTGGCCTTCAACGCGACGCTGAGCGCCGCGGCAAAGGCGTGGGGCTCGGGGCTTGGGGTGCTCGGGGGGATGAAGGGCTTCAGGGTCTCAGGGCTTTAAGGGCTTTAAGGGCTTTGAAGGGCTTTAAGGGCTCTTAGGGCTTTAAGGGCTTTAAGGGCTCGAGAGGGCCTTAAGGCTCGAGGGCTTCAGGGGCTTTAGGGTTTTAAGGGTCTCAAGGGGCTCTAGGGCTCTAAGGCTCGAGGGTGCTAGGGCTTCAGGGCTTCAGGGCTTCAGGGCCTTGGGGTTTGGGCCAGAGACCTTGAAGCCCGCAAAAATGGACGAGCCCCAGCTTCACACCAGGGATATGACCAACTGACCCAAAACCGAAACCCGGACCCCAAGCCGGGAAGAAGCGCTTGTCGTGTATCCAGCTGTGCGCATTTCGCCCTATAACCCTTCTTTTCAGCCTTTTCAGGGCGTCGTGCCCGGGGCCTGCTGCAAGCTCGGAGCTTAAAGCCCTCAGCCCGAAATCCGAAACCCTCTTTTACCTTGACAAGGAATTGAAGGCAAGCCGCAAAAAATCCTCAGCCTGACACACCTGAAGCCCGCTGAAAACCCGCACCTCCACTCAGCCACTGAACCCCTCAACCCTGACGACCGAAACCCCCTTCAAGCTTGAACCACAAAACGAAGCCCGAAGAAGCCTAAACAACCCTAGCAACGCTAGACAAGCCTAAGCCCTAAACCCTAACCCTAACCGCCTAAACCCTAAACCCTAAACCCTAAACCCTAAACCCTAAACCCTAAACCCTAAACCCTAAACCCTAAACCCTAAACCCTAAACCCTAAACCCTAAACCCTAAACCCTAAACCCTAAACCCTAAACCCTAAACCCTAAACCCCAACCCCCTACACCCCCTACACCCCCAAACAACTCCAGGGCCAGCAGTGGCAGCGAGCCCGCGACCTGCTCGCACGTGCCAGGCTCTGCCAGTTGGAGCCAGGGGGCCTTGGCCAAGATCTGGGTTTGGGGGGAGGTTTGGGGGTTTAGAGTTTGGGGGTTTAGGGTTTAGGGTTTAGAGTTTAGGGTTTAGGGTTTAGGGTTTAGGGGGAGGTTTGGGGGTTTAGGGGGCCAGGCTTGAGGTTTCAGGGTTTGGGGGTTCAGGGTGCCAAGATCTGAGTTTAGAGTTTAGGGAGGGAGCTTGGTTGGGGGTGTAGGAGTTGAAAATCTGGGGTTAAAGCGTTTGGGGGTTCACGAGTTTCGGGTCCGGACAGCTTTCGTGGTCTCTGGGTTCAGAGCTTCGGAAAGTGCGGGCTTGGAGCCACGAGGCTGGAGATCCCCCCTTAAACCCCGACGAAGCCCTACGGCCAAGAACGGGAGGCTCCATTGGATTTGTTGTTTGTCCGTTTTCTTGGCCTTGTCCTAGGAAACCTCTTCCCTCTATATTTTGAGATGAAATCGTACGCTTAGTTTTTTGCTAGCAGAAGCTGCAACATAGGAAGGAGGCGAGGGAGGGAAGGAAGGAAGGAAGGAAGGAAGGAAGGCACTATAGCCCGCATACATCTAGATCGTTGTTGGGTAGATTCTTGAAAAACCTTGCGATATGGGTTAGGAATGTTGTACGACATAAGGATGAATCCCGATGATATGATGAGCTAGCTTTGACTTGTGAGGCTCTTCATCAAGAGATTCAGACAAGTGTATTCAAGTTGGACTTACCCAGTAGATCAAACAATGACGTCGAAAAGAATCCTAATTTAATTTCGCTTGCGCCACGCAAAATTTCGGCTCTTTGCGAGTACTCTCTCTCGTGTCCTCCGCTGAGGTGACGGCCGCAGGTGGGGACTTGACAAGTGATGGCGGCAAACCTGCGCCCGAAACCCTAAAGATGGGCCGCTCCTCGTCGCCACGGGCACCCAGGGGTACTGCACGATGACGAGCAGTACTCTGGCTGGCCGTACCGGCGGCCACGCATACGTGAGCGCTGTGCCGCTGGGCCAGAAAAAGGTATAAAGCTTGCCAGGTAATCTGTAGTGGAGCCTCAGTGAATGTGCATATAGGCCCGCTGAAAACTACCCAGGATTCAAGTATGGACGGTCAGAAACCGGAGCATGCAAGATTGTGGCTCAGCTGCACGCAGCGTGTGCCTTCCATTGTAGCTGCCTCCGTCTTGCTGGCGCGGGGGGCAAGAGACATGGATCCTTACAACTAGTCCCATCCCAAGCAGCGCAACTGCTCATGAACATTTACACATACAGACACATTGTCCATCTACGCCTGTTACCCAAAACAGCCAAAAAAGACAAAACCCCTAAACCCACATAAAGCTCCAAATCCTAAGCCTCTCAACCCCAGCATCCCTAAACGCCAAAGGTTCCTGCTTTAGTTTGGCTAACAGCCCTTGAATAAGGCGTGGAGCATGTTCAGCACAAGTGATGGCGGCAAGCCTGCACGCGAGAAAGCCTAAGCCCTAAAGATGGGCCGCTCTTCGTCGCCACGGGCAGCCAAGGGTACTGCACGATCACGAGCAGTGCCCTGGCTGGCCGTACCGGCAGCCATAAATACGTGAGCGCTTTGCCGCTGGGCTATTAAAAGGTAAGCTTGCAAGGTAATCTGTAAAGCCCCTCAATCCCAAGCACTCATACACCACATAAAGCCCCGGCGCTCCGAGCCCTGAGACCCCTGAATGGATGACTGTCTGAAAGGAGTCTACAAAGGCCTTGAAAATTTTCCCACTTCGCAAAAAAAAGTTGGTCACGACCGCAAAATGAAAGGCTGTCATTCTTTATTGCGAATCTTGAGAATAGTGTTCCTTACAGTTTTGAATTTCTCTATAGTGCAAAATCCCGAGACCCTATTCTGGCGATCATCGACCCATCTAGTCGGACATATCACACTAGTCATACTGTTTGACACATCACACTAATCATACAGCTGCATTTGAGACCAGCAGGGACCCAAGCTCAAGGCTCCATACGATCCTCCGTTTGTGTTCTGAGGGTTCTATGACACATTCGGTATATTCAGTAACTTATTGAAAGTACAATCTAAATTAGAGGCCATTTGTCATCAACATCAACTAATCGACACATGCGGCTTCTAGACATACTCTCAGCTCCCATCCCATGGTAAGTATATCTCTTCAGACTTTTTGATTAAAGCAAGTGGAGGTCAAAGGTAATTCACACATAAGTTCTACTGTGTAGAAGGTCGAGCACTTCGGAAGCCCCGCCCCAACTTCAAAATTCAAAGACTTCGAGGCAGCTTGACTAAACCAAAAGGGCGTCAGTTTGGTTGGGCGGTCAGATATGGGCAGAGAATAGGACAGCTACGGGAACAACGGAAGCGCAGAAAACAACAAATAGTAAACAGCATAACGAAGGGCCAGCTTTTCAAGTTTGTAACTTGGGCTTGCTCTATTTGCTCTATTCATTTAAGTGCAAGAACAATGGGTTGTATCTTCACTGATGAAGTGAGTAGAACAGAAGTTTTACCTTTGAATTAAAACGGAGGTCAATCTGAGTTTCGAAAGAAGTTGGGGTCGGGAGTAGTAGCAAATTGGTAGTCCCAGCTCTGAGGTTTGGAGCCAAATTTTCAGTTCGTGATGGAAACAGTTCCATTAACATGGCTGACCTTTGAGTACGTTAGTCACAAAGATACATTAGGTGGCGTTTTAGCGTTGGGGGGGGGGGGGGGGGGAGTGTTCCTATAAGTTCTATGCCTTAATTGAAAACATGATGCTTTTACCGTTTGAGAGCCATTTCTTTCGCAAAGTCAATTCCAAAAATTCAACCCCGAAGTGGGCCCGACATCTGCTATCCGTTTTTGGCACAGCCCCCTTGTCAGTCAAAACCTCGTCGCTCTGCCCACTTCATGTGACTTCTGCTGCACTAGTGGGCGAACAGCCATGTTCTTCTCATCAAGAATATTCGCTTCTGCTACAGTATGTCTGCCTCAAACCCCAGCCGCTTTTGCCATTGCAAAGGGGTTAACATATAAATATATGGTACTCCCCCCCAAAACCTACCGTTTCATACCCTTTTCTATGTCGAGACGTGTTTACTATATTCGAAGCCGGATATATATATGGACATATATCTATAGATATACATAAAATACGAAATAGCAAATACTTAAAGATGCCGAAAAAAATCTGCAGGGCCAGGAGTTCTAAAACTCCTCTTGTGGCTAAGCAAGGAGTTTTAAAACTCCTGGCCCCGAAGATTGAAGATTGAAGATTCCCCAGAACTCTTTCCAGGAATCTTCAATCTTCAATCTTAGGGGCCGGGAGTTTTAAAACTCCTCTTGTGGCTAAGCAAGGAGTTTTAAAACTCCTGGCCCCGAAGATTGAAGATTGAAGATTCCCCAGAACTCTTTCCAGGAATCTTCAATCTTCAATCCTAGGGGCCGGGAGTTTTAAAACTCCTCTTGTGGCTAAGTAAGGAGTTTTAAAACTCCTGGCCCCGAAGATTGAAGACTGAAGATTCCTGGAAAGAGTTCCGGGGAATCTTCAATCTTCAATCTTCAATCTTCAGTGGCAGGAGTTTTAAAACTCTTCTCGTGGCTAAGCAAGGAGTTTTAAAACTCTTGGCCCCGACAATCTTCAATCTTCGGTGGCAGGAGTTTTAAAACTCCTCTCGTGGCTAAGCAAGGAGTTTTAAAATTCCCGGCCATGGTATTGTATATTACGCCACTGAAAGTGGTTCCAGTATGTATGCGTTGAATCGACTCAATTTCGACGCGCAGCTTGGGCTATAAACGCGCAGTTTCCAGCCATAGCATACGCGTACTCCTCATGGCGGCCGTCAACATCACGGGCACCTTCGCATTGGACTCCTCCGGCAACGCAGTGATTCACATCACTAAGAATGAAGAGGCTTCAGACACAAAGAAGCCTCCGTCCGCCAAGGAGTTTTTCCAGGCTGTCGAGTCGGGCCTCGTCCAGCTTCATGCGAGCCGAGCCGACATGAAGAAGAAGGACTATTACATCTTGCTCCATAACATTCAGCGGCAGCTCCACATGACCAAGACCGGGATTGATGGACAGTGGAGCGAAGAAGCATGGAACATGCTCTTGAAGACTGTAGCCAAAGCAAAGAAGGGAACCGCAAAAGACAGTGGCGTCCTGATGATCAAGGACATGCAGTCTCCCGACAAGAAGAAGAACAAGAGCAAGACATCAAGCCGTGGCGAATGTTTGGCACTTGAGGACGCCAACTTAGAGGTGATGAAGTCAAACACCGTCGTGGGCAAGAATAGTGGCGAAGACATGGCAGTGGATGCCACGAACTCGGACGCAAGTGACTCGCATGTGAACGTACCAAACGATGATGCACGCCAAGCTGCAGGAAGCAGCACCGACCCCATCAACACCAAGAAGGCATCCAGCAGCGAGAGCAGTAGCGAGGACAGCGACAACGATGGGTCGAGTAGCTTCGCCTCAGCAAGCACACCACCAGAACCAGTAGACATGTCGTCATGGACGTCAGACTGGCACGACCTCTACGTGACTTCGGCGGATATGAGGCGCAGTCGTGTGAACCAGAACAATAAGAGGGTGTGGAATGGAGTCCTTCTCACGATCCAGAAAGCCAGAGCCAAGGCCGAGAAGAAGTAAAGAATACCTCATACGTGATCTTGTCTTCCACTACATGCGCATTGGCTGTCATTCAGAACAAGAACTCATGACCGTGCGAGTACAGAAAAAGAATGCGACACTGCTGTTGATTAATGCTTATATGTTACCTTTCAAAGCAAAATGCGTATTATCTTAAAAAGCAAAATATACTGCGCAGGCAACTGGACTCTTAAGGATATAGTTTACATCAAGTGCTCGAGACTCGTCAGCTGCTATAGTTCCTTAGCTACGAGATTATCCTCGAATCGTCCTTGTGCAAACATGAGTGGGACACTAATGGACGAGGCCCTCGCAGAAGTCGGGGACAAGTCGTGGTATCTGCGGCAGCTAGAACAAGCGCAAGTTTTCCGTGCAAATGAC